AATCTCTGACACTTCCACCAAAGTGATTTAATGGTCATATCTGAGCTATGGAAATTTTGACAACTACTAGATAATAGCTAAGAGATATAAAAAAGTTTTTGCTGCTGCTGCTGCTGCTGCTGCTGACCAAAGGTCAAACAGTCAAACAAGCAACCTATAAAATACAAAATCTTTACTAGCCCATCCTGGTTAATTTCAAACATTTGAAAATATAATTGATAGTGCTTTTGTACCATTTGTGGTTGGGAATGCCTTTCCCAGTGGCTGATACTGGTCCTTTCACTCCTCACATTACACCTTTAAGCTCCCATGCAGATCTTCTCACAGTTAAAAACATTAAATTCCAGCTCACCATCAGAATTTACTCACTGGATTGGATCTTTGCTGGACAAATACGACAACCACTAAATAACAGCTAAAACATTTTTTTTGCTGCCATATAGAGGTTGATAGGTTCAATCCATAATTTCAGGAATAATTAGTTCAATCAATTGATGGCAGAATGGGAAAGGAGAAAACAAAAAAACAATCCTACAACACATGGAGCATTATGCATTCCAGGTGGGTGAATCTGCACAAAACAATTTTGGCAAGGCTGGAATTTCCACTGAAGAAACCATCAATTCTGGCCCTTAAAATGCTTTGTGCAATGCAGTACAGCCATTTCTGGGTTTCTAAGGGCACACCCTGTGGGGTAGCAAGACTTTGGATGCATGATTGACTACCAGTTCTGGGAGGAGAGATGGGCCTGAAAAAGCAGCTGTGTGGATGTAACTTTTCTCTGAGCTTTCGAACAGGGAGATATAATGCATTCGTTGGCATGAGGAAATGTAATGTATTCTTTGGCCTAAGGACTTCAAGCAAAAAAATGAGCTTAATTGATTCTCTAGCACTTACATATATTTCCCTAGTTGTATATATGAAATAAAGTATGAAGAATTAGATGAGAAGTTTAGTACTTAGCATGTAAGCATTTTAGTATTATATTCACAAAAAACAAATAATATAATGGTAAAGATCTATACTTAAAATTTATTAATGAAATTGTAGAACTGAGAAAACAGTTCTACAATTTTATTAATAACTTTTAAGTATATAGATCTTTAGCATTATACTATTTGTTTTTTATATGTTTAGTAGTCTGAAACATTTTATTTACTTTTATTGATCTTTTAGAAAATGTTTATATATTTTGTCTAAGCATTGTAACCTCTTATAAAGTTTGCATAAAACACTAGTCAATGACCATAATAAAGATGCTACTACTAAATACCTCTGAGGCACAGAGACTAATACTTTAATTTTAATTATACTAACAACCAATATCTAATTAATATGTTTGGTGCACTATTTTTAATTCTTGGGAAAATGGACAATTAAATTAGAATAGAATTAATTACTAAAACTTATAGTATAAATATTTTTAAAAGTCTCAACTAAAATAAATGAAGTTTGAACAGTAGTGTTGGTAATACATACATATTTCTTTATAATTAGCATAATCTGGAGAAATATTTATTAGCAAATGTGATTTTAAGATTTGTAGAATTTCTTTACTAAATTCTCAACCATGTATTTAAACCGATTTAAAGGGAATCTTATACCATAAAGAGTTCTAGATGACAAATTAAAATCCTCAACCTTCTTCCCTTACTTTATACAGCACTTTCAAGGGAGCCTATTAATTCTGAACCAATATTTTGATAATATTGAAGAAGTTCCTTTGATTTTAAATGAGCATATTGATCATTCCTTAAATATTGTTAATATTGTTGACTAATAAGATCTAAAAATAAGTAATTTTAATTTTCTCATGTGTCTCTAACTGTGGCCATTTTTGTCTGATTTACAACAAATCATATCTCAAGCTCATACTGCAGAAGACGGCATAATAGAATTATTTCACATTTATCATTCTTCTTTTTCTGGGATTTGCCAGTACAGACTTTGGGATGTATATACCAACATTAAGAGGGAATGTATCTTTGAAGCAAATAGGTGCTGGTATAGAAAGTACTGCAAACTGTTGTGCCAAGACAGGAAGGTAAGCTAGGGTGTATAAAATCAAGGTAACTTTTGTGAAAGGACATAATCTCTTTAGCTCATTTCTTTGGTGTTACCAAACTCACAGTAGATGCGGGCTAGAGGAGCTGGTAACTGGACTGCAATTTGATTTCTATAATCAAGATGAGCTACAACTTTCTGTTTCTATCCTTTTATCCTGTGGTACCAGGATTATTCAAACTTTAATTCTTTTCTCCAAGCAGAAGAAAAAGATGGCAGAAATCAGCTGGCTGCAAGTTGGTCAAAATATTTTAATTCCAAAGTCTCAGGTGTGCACTCAGTCAGTTCTAATTATTTCATGCTTAATAATCTTCATGCCCATTTATGCTAACTTGAAGAAAATGTAACGATGACATAACTGCTGAAAGAGAGAGCTTTAGAATCTGGCCCAGAAATTGATCATTTGAACTCTAAACTCTGTATTTGTGTAACATGCATAAAATAGGCAATGTTTTAAAGTAAACTGTTAACAACAATAACAGTCATCACTCCCAGCCTCTAAACCCAATATGGAAAATTATATTATAATTGGGGACCTTGGAAGCTAACATTCAAATCTCTGCATTAAAAGGCTCAGGTGTTTTCTATTTTTTTAGACTGTAATTACTTATGCCAGGGGTCCCCAACCACCGGGCCGTGGACCGGTACCGGTCCGTGGAACATTTCCTACCGGGCCACCGGTTTGCTGGGTGCCGCCATCTTGTTTGACGAGAAAGTGCTTCTGGGTGAGCTTTTCCGGTTGGAAAGCGGCATTTGGGTCCTGAAGGAATCCTCGCGCCTTAGTTTCATCGAAGGGGGAGTGGAGGCTTCAAACGAAACTAAGGTGCGAGGATTCTTTCAGCACCCAAGGCAAGGTGAGCCGAGCGACTGTCCCGAAGCCGTCCTGAAGCGAAGCCCATCGACAAAGGTACAAAGGAGGAGTTGAAGGTGGCGGGGAGAAGCGGGGGACGGCTGGCTGACCGGTCGCTTGGCTCGCCTTGCCTTGTCATGCATGCTGATGCCGGTACCGGGCCGCAGATCATTTTGTGATTCCGGTACCGGGCCGTGGCACAAAAAAGGTTGGGGGCCACTGAATTATGCCCCTACATTCTGCATTGTAGCTTTTAGATTGTCTTTAAGGGTAGTAGCCCCATGTAGAGCCCATTGTAACAATCTAACCAAGAGAATGTTGCAGTTTGAGTGATCTCAAGCAATCCCCTCCCAATCTAGGAACAGATACAACTGGCACAAATGATGAAGTTCTGGAAAAGCCCCCTCCTCTGCCTATCTCTCCCTCTCCCTCCCTCTTTCTTTCCATTCACTCACTCACTTTTTATAGTCACTCATCTCAGTAGCAAACAATCATAAACTCCATTAAAACCAAATACAAGCTATAAAAATCTCTTTTCATTCTTACGGGTGGTATGTGTCTTCCTTCATCTCCCAAACCTGGGACTTTGAGGGTTCTGCATAGTATTTTAGCACTGCACTCTTCTGGAAAAAGAGCTCTTACGTTGTTCCTAGGAATTATTGGAGTCATTCTCTCAGTTTAGGAGTCATCCTGAGGGCTCCTATCACCTATGAGCAGGCTGTCATAGGGGGTGGGGCTGAGATGGGTGGGGCTGCACTGGATGGGAAATGAGAGGTGGTGGGGTGTCAAAATGGAAAGCCCCTGCTGCCCTGCATTTTTTTAAAAAAGCTGCATTGCTTAATGCTTGAGGGTGTCTTGCTTTGAAAATAAGGAAGCAATGGAGTGGGATGTCAGCTTTTTTAAAAGCTAAAAAGGCTTGTTTTGAGTTGCATTCAAATCTTTGCCGATCAAGAAGATTGCAAAGTTTGCAGCCGCATTTAGCTGCAGATATGATGCACTATGGAAATGGGGCTGCATGGACAAGAACGTTTGGAGTCAAACTGAAAAAAACCCTCTTCTCAGCATTACTTTTTTCACAGCATCGATGTTGGCTTTGGCGGAGAACATTGCTCTGATTCTCCATCCAAACGCACTCTGCATATGACCATGAAGTCATCGACCTGGCTTTGGG